AATATGGTACAAAATATTTGTATTCTTTCTCTATATTTTAGTGAATTTTCCTTTCCTTTGCCAATTATCTTTTGTTCTTGTGCATTTGTGATATTAACTTCATATCGTACCATATATTTATCCTTGTATTACAACAAAAAGAACAAATAACCCTTGTTTGGTGTTCGAATTAATAATCAATTTTAATCACATATTTCATGGGATCCACAATTCTTTAATCATACATTTTATCAATTTTTTTAAAAAATCTACTAAAAATCTAATTTTTAGCTACTCCAATGATAGACATAATTATAAATTCTTGATTGTTCGTATTAATAACTATATATTACAACTATTCACTACTCATTTTCTTGATTGTTTGAATTTGTTGCCAACTCCACAACGTCAACTGACCTTATTTAGTGAACCAAATACACCTAAATATGTCTCTATCCGCTAAAGAATTAAGAGAACAAAAACTTTGATTTTTATCCCATACAACTTCGTGAAATATTCGAATAAGTCCATAGATACTCTTCTTTTTCTCCGACTCTTCAGGGATCATTTTTTTCCACTAATTTTCAATCACATGTTCTCCCAATAAAATAATTTTACAAGTAAATTCAAAATTTTTAACTACTTTTTATCCGCACATTCTTAAAAAATTACTATTACAAAACACATTATTTTACAAAAAAATAGAGCGCAAACATAAGATGTAGAATTCCTCAATTAGCTTCTCTTTATTGTTTTATAATTTGTCAACATCTGACCTAAGTAATTAATAATCAAATCTGCAGATGGATGCCACAGAACTCTGATCAAGAGCTGATGCCATCTTCTCCTGTCAAACTGAATAAATGGAAAGATCATGTTAGCCTAAATTACCTACATAAACTCCATATACTGTTTCTGATATTGAATACTTTTTACATATTTGGTATATCGAAATAGACATTACAAGACAATGAGAAACAAAACGAAGTTAATAATTTTTTTTTTTGGTCAAATACATTATCCCAATAAAACATATTCGACAATTATGTGTATCCAAATTGATTAGAATTTTTTTTTTTTGCAGGTGATGTTGGACAATGGCATTGTTAAACTCACATTAATATCTCCAAGAGGTTTGATCGCGGAAATACAATACAAATGAGATAAGAATGTCCTCGAATATCATTCAAAAGAAAATAGACGAGGG